TCCCCAGCTGGAGGAAAATCCCTTTGTGGAGCATTTATTTATGGCCAGGTATAAACCTGCCCTAATCCTGTGACTGCAACAGAAACCCACTGGGTTTAATGCAGTGATATTCCAACCTGGAAAGAATTCCAGCTTCCTAAATTGCTCCCAACTGCCCCTGTTGGAGGGGTGGCATTGCCAGAGGTTTTCCTTTCATTCCTGCCTTTCTGGTGGCTCTGGACTGGAAGATGCAGGTCCAGAGGAACATGAGTGTTCAGGGAATGCTGGCTCCAGCCTTGTTCCTCTCAGAAGGCAAATTGTGGATCCCTCACGTGCTTCCCAGATTTGGGATCACCCTGCTGGAGTTCTCCCTCCCTGGGCACTGTGCAGGGGTGGCTTCCCCTGAGCCCAGTCCTGTGGGATGATGGTTTGTGTGGTTTGTAGGGACAGCAGCCCCTTCCCACATCCAGGGGCGATGCCAGCCCCCCATCCCATGGTGCTGCTCCCACTAAATCACTGCTTTTTGGGAATTGCTCCCAGCACCTCACTCTGCCCAAATCTGAACCTGCTGCTGCTGCTGCTTCCTCCCCTCTCCTCATCCCTCTGGAACTGTCCCAGCAGGATCCTGGTGGGACAGAGGGGGTTCCACCCCACCCTTCTCCAAAAGGGGCTGAACTTGCTGGAGGGCAGATCTCTCCTGTCTCCCTGGGAACGCTCAGGGATCACTCTCAGCAGGTGTTTGATCTTCTCCAGGCTTGGATTAAGGGGACAAACTCAGTTTTCTGGTGAAATCCTCCCCCAACCCTCATTCCTCCTCTGGCTGTCCTGGCCTTCCAGGGGGAGATGAGTTTGGCGGAGAGATGGAGACTCCGGGGGGGATGCAGAGCGGGGAGGGGGTTGGGGTCCCCTCCTGTGATTCCTGACGTGTCCTTTCCCTCTCTGCTCCCTCAGTCGGCCGATTCTGACCTCCCCTACCCGCCCCCCCAGCGGGAGCCCAACATTTACATGGTGCCCCAGGGCATCAAACCTGTCCTGCAGCGCACGGCGATTGAGGTGAGCGGGGCTGGGGGCATCGAGGGGAGGGAGCCTGGGATGGAATCCAAACAGGCTTTGGTGTGCAGAGAACCCCCAGAGCTGGGGGGGCTCAGCCTGGAGAAAAGGAGGCTCAGGGGGGACCTTCTGGCTCTGCAATCCCTGACAGGAGGGGGGAGCCGGGGGGGGTCGGGCTCTGCTCCCAGGGAACAGGGACAGGAGGAGAGGGAACGGCCTCCAGCTGTGCCAGGGGAGGCTCAGGTTGGCCATCAGGAGGGATTTCTCCCTGGAAAGGGTGGTCAGGCCTTGGCAGGGGCTGCCCAGGGAGGTTTGGAGTGCCCAGCCCTGGAGGTGTCCAAGGCAGGCCTGGCTGTGGCACTCAGTGCTCTGGGCTGGGGGACAGGGTGGGGATGGGGCACAGGGGGGACTGGATGACCTTGGAGGGCTTTTCCAGCCTCAGGGATTCCATGCACAGCCAGCTTTTCCCACTGCTGTGTCACCTCTGCCTGGAGGGCCACCCCTCATGGTCACCTCCCCTGCTGGTGACGGACCTGGGGGCAGAGCTTTGGCTCAGTCTTTGCTGTCCCCTCCCCCTGCAGATCCTGGCCTGGGGGCTGAGGAACCTCAAGAGCTTCCAGCTGGCCAGCGTGACGTCCCCCAGCCTGCTGGTGGAGTGCGGGGGGCAGCTCGTGCAGTCCTGCGTCATCAAGAACGTCAAGAAGAACCCCAACTTCGACGTCTCCGTGCTCTACATGGAAGTGGTGAGGGCCCTGGGGGGTGGGGGTCAGCCAGGGCTGGTTGGGCAGGACCTGGGGGTCCCAGGAAAATGCAGCTTCTGGTGAAGGACCTCAGAGTGCCATTAAAAATGCATCTGGTGGGGAAGGACTGCCAAGTCCTGTAAAAATGCACCTCGTGGTGCAGGACCTGGAGGTCCCCTAAAAATTAATCACCTTGTGGTGAAGGACCTGGAGGTCCCACAGAAATGGATTTTATGGCGAAGGACCTTTTAAGGTGAAGGACCTTCACCTTATGGTGAAGGACCTCAAAGTCCCATAAAAGTGGATTTTATGGTGAAGGACCTGGGGGTCCCTTAAAAATGCATTTTGTGGTGTAGGACCTCAAAGCTCCATAAAAATGCCCTTTATGGTGAAGGAGCTGAAGGCATTTTAGAAACTGATTTAATGGTGAAGGACCTGGAGATCCCATAAAAATGCA